GAAGGAGAAGGAGAAGGAGGAGAAGGGGATGGGGAGATGAGAGGGGGAAGGAGAGAAGTGGGGAGGAAGGGGAAGGGGAAGGGGAAGCAGAGACGAGGGGAGGGGAGGGGAGAGGAGGGAAGGGCAAGGGGAGAGGAGAGAAGAGGTGAGGGAAGGGATAGGGGGGGGGGAGTGGGGGAAGGAGAGGAGAAGGAACTTTTCGCTAAATACCATGCAGTGAAGACAAGCGAGGAAGATGGGAGGAAAGATGAACGGGAAGAAATGAAGGAGTGTTTATTATTGTGGGAGAGGGAGGGGGAGGAGTAGGAGGAGGAGGAGGAGGAGGAGGAGGAGGAGGAGGAGGAGGAGGAGGAGGAGAGGAGGAGAGAGAAGCAGCAGAAGAAAGAACAAGAGGAACAGAAAAAATACAGCCAGCCCCAAGCCTCGTCCGTCGAGAGCGCTCGCGCCCTCCGGCCCGGGCGCAGGACAGGCCCCAAGCCCCACGAGCTTCCCTGACGAACGAGTCCCGCGGGCGGCGAGCAGCGGAACAATCGCGGAACATAACGAGCCTCCACCTCTAACGAGCGGCCGCCTTGTTCGGAGCCGCGCGGAGCCATATTTCACGGCGGGGCGATAACGGCGACGAGGGGGTCCCCGTCGCCGTCGCCTCCGTCAGGGGGAGGGAGGCGGACGGGGGGGGTCTACCTCTCCCCCGTCCTTCGTGTCTTCTACAGTGACCTACGCCATGACTTCATGTCCTGTACGACTAGAGACACGACCTACTCTTTTATACAACGACCTAACAATAACGACTACCGCGACGTTCCTCCCCCTCCCCCTCCCCTCCGACGACCACGCCACCCCTCCCCCATTCCAACGACCTCTCGACGACGACGACGACGACGACGACGACGACGACGACGACGACGACCCGGCCTCATGTATCACGATGCCCACAGCGCATAAGAAGACGCACTTAAGAGCTATAAAGCGCTCGTCGATAAGCGCCATCTCCCTTCTATCATCGTTTTCTTATTAGATTTCTGCCGGGGTCGTTTTCGAGCGCCGCGTCTCCGGGGGAAGAAGGGCGCAAGTGCCAGTAGCAACAGGTGTCACTGAACGGTTCGGGAGTGGAGGGGGGCTGGGGGATGGTAGGGGGGGTAGAGGAGGGGTCGTTCGTTCGTTCGTTCGCTTCGCACCGACGGGAGAAGTGACGTCACGTGCTTTTAGCGACCGTCTGTCGGCCTGTCTGCCTCCGTCGCTTGCCTCTCCCCCCCCCCACCCGCCCCCCCTCCTCCTTAAGACGGCAGTTTCGGGGCCGAAATGTGGGCGGGGTTGCACGGCGTCTGCTGCGGGCGTGCGGGCGCTGTGCTACGTGGATGTGATACAGGCGCTCTTGGCCCTCACGACGGAGGCCGAGGCGCCCTCGCGAGATCGAGGCGCAGCCGGGGGAAGGAGGGACTCCATTCCGACGGCAGTAACGAACGAGATGTGGGCGGGACGAGTCCGGGAGTGTGGGCGGGGGGAAGGGGGCGGAGAGGGGAGTGGCGGTGCTACACCCGAGGCCGGAGAGAGAGAGGGGGAGGGGGAGGGAGGCGGAGGGGCAGAGGGAGGGAGGGGTACGCACGCCAGGTCGCCGGTGCCCGGGACTCCTCCACTCGCATACAAACTGCCTCATTACCGCCCGCCCCCCTTATGCCCCCCTCCCCCCATCATGCCCCTCCCCCCCTCATGCCTGCCGCCTACCCGCCGTCCCCCATGATGCACGGATGCCATGCACGGGGGAGGGGGAGGGAGGGGAGGGGAGGGAAGGGGAGGGAGAGGGAGAAGGAGAGAGAGAAGGAGAGGAGGAGGAAAAGAAGAAAAAGAAAAAGAAGAAAAGATGATGAACAACAACAACAATAACAATAAGTAGAAGATGGAGAAGCAGAAATAAAAACAAGAATAAGAATTAAAAAAACGAAAACAAAGAAAAGAAGGAGGAGGGAAAAAAGGAAGAGGGAGAAAGGAGGGGGTAAGGAGGAGGGCGATAACTCTTCTGTAATTCCTTTGCCTCTTTTCCCGTTTCTCGCATTGTTACACATTCCCTTTCTCCTTTTCTCATTCAAATATCCTCATTCCGACGGCGCGACTTGGTAAATACTACTGCCTTCATTGTAATCACAGTGATTAATAGCACTAATTATGATCTTTAGTATTATTCTTTCATAGTCATTATTACTATTATATAATCATGATTACCATTACAGTTATCATGGAACTTATCACTATTAATATCATCTTACTTATTAGCATTATCATCACTATAAATATTCTCACTTTTGCCATTACCGCAATCTCCAAAAGAGAGAGAGAGAAAAAAGGGGAAAAATATAATAAAAGGTAAATAAAAAAAGATCTGGGATTCAATTCAACGAAGGGAAAAGACAAAGAAAAATACGATAATTCGTGGATAATAATAATAAGGAATGAATTAATCAAAAGAAGAGGAAACGGACAAAAGAAATGGTAGGCAAAACAAAATTTAAAAATCTATTACACTCAAAGAACAGGAAAAAAATAATCACCGCCTACACCCGAAGAATTAGTAAAAAGTATATCAAGAAAAATGAAAAAAAAACATCCAGGCAACACCCCAAGAATTAATAAAGAGTAAATAAGAAAAACGAAAAAAAAAAAGAAAAAGATTTCGACTACACCCTGAGAAGGCCGTCTGCGCCACAGGTCTCCCGAAGGGCTTTTTGAACCGACTAACTACCAGTTTGTGTGCTTTTTCGCCGCTGCCTTTTCTCGCCGACGTCCTTACACGCCCTAAGCCCGGTGCTCCATGAATAATGCACAACACACATGCATAAAGTTCTTTCCGACTTCAAGAAAATTACAGATGTTTTACATCCTGGCTCGAGATACATGTAAATGGAGCCTCTTCTTCCCTCCTCCTCCTCCTCCTACTCCTTTTTCTCCTCCTCCTCTTCGGGATCCCTTCCTCCTCTTTCTCCATCTCTCTTCCATCCCCCTTTGCTCTCTCCCTGTGCCCCCCCCCCTTTTTCTTTTTCTACTCTCCTTCCCCTTCCCTTTTCTTTTCCTTCCTTTCCTTCTCACTCCCCTCTCTTGTCTTTTCCCTCTCCCCTCTCCATCTTTCCTGCTCCTTTTCCTCTCTCTCCTTCTCCTTTCATACCGCTCTTTCTTAGTATCTTTCCTTCCAACTCCGTCTTTCTTCGGTCCTTTTATGCCCTTTTCTCTCTTCCGGGATCTATCTCTCTTTCTTTGTCCATCTTTTTATATCATCCACTACCTGCCTCCTTTCTTTGCCTTCCTTGATTCCCTCCTTCTATTCATCAATCTCTTGGCTTTTCTTCCCACTGCCTCCCTCTCTTCTCCCTCCTCCCTCCTTCTTCCCCCCTTTCCCTCCCTCCCTCCATCTCGCCGATCTCCCCTTCCTAGGTATGTACCACCTCTATATATATACATACAATAAGTATATTTATTATATATATATATATGATATAGATATGCAAATGTACCTATCCCAATGGCTAATTAATGCTTCCAGAATGATCGCAAACACGCTGAAGAACTTTGCAACAATCATCGACCAACGAATAAATACAAAAGAATGCAAAAGCTTTACCGCTCCCCCAACCCTCCTCCCCTTCCCCCCCCCCCCCCCTTCTGCCTTTCTTCTTCCCTCCCTCCCTCCATCTCGCCGATCTCCCCTTCCTAGGTATGTACCACCTCTATATATATACATACAATAAGTATATTTATTATATATATATATATGATATAGATATGCAAATGTACCTATCCCAATGGCTAATTAATGCTTCCAGAATGATCGCAAACACGCTGAAGAACTTTGCAACAATCATCGACCAACGAATAAATACAAAAGAATGCAAAAGCTTTACCGCTCCCCCAACCCTCCTCCCCCCTCCCCCCCTCTTCCTCAGACAGCCGAGCGAACAAATGCAAACACACCAACACGCACACCGACCTGAAAATGCCTATGAATATGCACTAATGGCCAAAATGAAAACATATATGCATACACGTTCACTTAACTCCCTCGAATATTTCAATTCCATCCCCCCCACCCCTGCTCCTCCTTCCTTCTCCTCCGCCCCTCTTCCCTCGTCCCTTCTTCTCCTTCCGCTCTCTCTCTCTCTCTGTCTTTCTTTCTCTTTCTCTCTCTCTCTCTCTCTCTCTCTCTCTCTCTCTCTCTCTCTCTCTCTCTCTCTCTCTCTCTCTTTCGCCCCTTTTTCTTTTTCTACTCTCCTTCCCCTTCCCTTTTCTTTTCCTTCCTCTCCTTCTCACTCCCCTCTCTTGTCTTTTCCCTCTCCTCTCTCCATCTTTCCTGCTCCTCTTCCTCTCTCTCCTTCTCCTTTCATACCGCTCTTTCTTAGTATCTTTCCTTCCAACTCCGTCTTTCTTCGGTCCTTTTATGCCCTTTTCTCTCTTCCGGGATCTATCTCTCTTTCTTTGTCCATCCTTTTATATCATCCACTACCTGCCTCCTTTCTTTGCCTTCCTTGATTCCCTCCTTCTATTCATCAATCTCTTGGCTTTTCTTCCCACTGCCTCCCTCTCTTCTCCCTCCTCCCTCCTTCTTCCCCCCTTTCCCTCCCTCCCTCTCATCTCCTTACTCCCTCCCTTTTTCTCCTCTTCCCCTCCGTCACTCCTTCCTTCTTCCTTTCCTCTTCTCCTCCCTCTCATCTCCCTCTTTCATTCTTCCTTCTTTTCCCCCTTCCCTCCCCATTTCTCCCTCTTTTCCCCCCTCACTTCTCCCTCCTTTTCCCCCCACTTCTCCCTCTTTTCCCCCCTCACTTCTCCCTTCTTCCCCCCCCCTCACTTCTCCCTTCTTCCCCCCCCTCATCTCCCCTACTCCCTCCTTCTCCCCCCATTTCTCCCTCCTTTCCCCCCCTCATCTCCCCCGCTCCCTCCTTTTTCCCCCATTTCTCCCCCCCCCTTCCCCTCTCCTCCCCCCTCCCTACCCAAACAGAACACCTTCCAGTACTCACCCTTGCCTGTAGCGCCTGCTGCTGGAGGGGATCGAGGACCTGCGGGGGGGGCTGGAGCCGTCCCGCCCCCCCGTCGGAGGGAGCCGAGTGGGCGCCGTCCCTCTGGGGGGTGTGGGGGGGCGTGGGGGGTTCTGCACCGCCTTCGCCCGATCCCCCGACGCCGTTGTTCTTCAGGGACTCCAGAAGCTTTCCTGTGGGAGGAGGAGAGAGACGGGAATTAGCGAATGCACGAAGGTGGGGGTGAAGAGGAGAAAGGAGGAGAAGTGAATAAGGAAGGTGAGGAGAATACACGAAGGTGGGGGTGAAGAGGAGAACGGAGGAGAGAGACGGGAATTAGGGGGGGATGCACGAAGGTGGGGGGTGAAGGGGAGAAAGGAGGAGATGTGAATATGGAAGGTAAAGAGGATAAACGAATGCATGGGAATGAGTGGGAGAGAAGAGGAAGAAGGGAATTGAAAACAAAGGCGTGAATAACAGAGAGTGAATTCGTGAAGATAAGGATAAAGAGGAGAGAAGAAAAGAATGAGGAAGAGGAACGAAGAGGAACGAAGAATAAGAAGGAGAAGACAAGAAGAAACGAAAAAGAACAAAAAAACGGAAAGGAATAAAAAAGAGAAACGAAAAGAAGAGAAGAGAAGAGAGAAAAAAAAACAGAAAAAAGAGAATAAAGAAGAGAAACAAAAGAGAAGAGAAGAAACGGACGAACCAAGGAAGAGAAACCAGCAGGGCAGTCGATTCGAACCTTTTGTTTCTGATCGCGAACCTGAACCTCGAATCATGTTCCGAAGCTTCGAAATCGTGCCAGAGTAAACACAGGTAAAAAAAAAAGAAAAAAAAAAGACTCGTAAATCAAAGTCGAGCTTAAAACTGCCTATTCTTACATCATGAAGCTTGTAACTCGTGTTTTAGAAAATATACTAATAATTAAATAAACAACATAAGTACGAGATTTTCTTCAGAATCAACAACAGAATGGCTAAATAGCTCATAAAACGATAAAAGCGGGAGAGAGAGAGAGAGAGAGAGAGAGAGAGAGAGAGAGAGAGAGAGAGAGAGAGAAAGAGAGAGAGAGAGAGAGAGAGAGAGAGAAAGAGAGAGACAGAGAGGAAAGGGGAAAGGGAATGAAAGAGAGAGTTAAAAAGTGAAAAAGAAAGAGAAAGGGGAAGAAGGAGAAAGAGAAAAAGAAGGAGAGAGAAAGAGAGAAAGCGAGAGAAGAAGAGAAGAGAGAGAGAAAGAGAGAGATAGACAAAGAGTCAGACTTAATCAGGAACATCCCCACACGCAATAAAGTTTATCAAACGGACATTAAAGACCATAAACCTATCTATATTACGAGTCACATGATAAAAAAAAACAAAAACAACAACAACAACAACAGAACAAGAAGCCTGGCGTGGACGGCGATTCGGTACTTAATTACAAGTTTAACTTTATTATCATGTAGACAGCTGATACAAAAGGCCATAAAATAATCTACAGCCAATTAACATACGGAGGGAGGGGGAGGGGGGGGGAGGGAGAGGAGGAAGAGGATGGGAAGAAGGGGATCAGGTGAATAGGGGAGGGAAGGGGGAGGGGGGAGAGGGGAGAGGGGGAGAGGAGGGAGGAAGGGGGAGAGGGGAGAGGGGGGGTGTAGGTGAATAGGGAAGAGGGGAGGAGGAAGGGGGAGAGGGGAAGGAGAGGGGGGGGGGAAGGATCAGGTGACTTGAAGGGGGGGTAGAGAGGGGAGAGAGAGAGAGAAGGGGATAGAGAGAGAGAGAGAGAGAGAGAGGGGGGGGGGGAAGGGAGGGGAGGCGCTAATCTCTTGATTAAGGATTTCGTCGAGAAACTGCATCGCCAGGGATAGAGAAATCAAGGTGTTCCAGCCGTGGCGATTAACGAGTCGTAATTCACGGGCGAAGGCAGAGGGGTAAACAGCGATGGCGGGGGGGAGGGGGAGGGGGGAGTTGATTACTTTATTTATTTATTTATTTTTATTTTTATTTTTTTGGGGGGGGATGGGTTGGGTGAGTGGGTGGGTGACGGAGAGAGGGGGGAGAGGGGAAATGTGGGTGGGGGGTGGGGGGTAGGGCGGACAACTTCACTTACTTTTTCTTATTATTATTCATTGATCTATTTATCTATTTGTTTATTTATCTAATTTTAGTATTTTTGCTTTCTTTACGCACATACACAAAAGGGATAAAATGAAAGACGAAGGAGATGAACATAACGAAGATCACGATGATAAACAAGCGAAGGCAATCAAAAAGAAAATTGGTAAAGAGAAAGAGAGAGAGAGAGAGAGAGAGAGAGAGAGAGAGAGAGAGAGAGAGAGAGAGAGAGAGAGAGAGAGAAAGAGAAAGAAAGAAAAAGAGAGATAAGAAAATTGAGAAAGAGAGAAAAAAAAAGCGACTGCAACAACGCCTTGCAGCATCTACAGAGACGTTATTAACCTTCACATAAATGAACTTGGGCATCTTGACGCTCCGAAGATGCTGCCCCGGCCTCCCTCTCCCTCTCCCTCTCCCTCTCCCTCTCCCTCTCCCTCTCCATCTCCATCTCCCTGGCCTTCTCTCTCTTCTTTATCTTCCTCTTTTATCTCCCCCTGAGAGAGAGAGAGAGGGAGGGAGAGAGAGAGAAAGAGAGAGAGAGAGAGAGAGAGAGAGAGAGAGAGAGACAGAGAGAGAGAGCGAGAGGAAGAGAAAGAGAACCAAACAGAGAAAAGACAAGAAACAAACCCAGACAACCCAAAACGAATCCAAAACAAAACAAATGAAAAACAAAAGACATGAACCAAAAAAAAAAAAAAACCAAAAAAATAAAAAACCCAGCACCTGTTCGACGCGCGATAAATCACCTCAGAGGCGCTGGCGGGACGGCGCTTAAAACACCCTTGATTCCATCCAGCGGCACATAAATAATCACAGCTGCTCGTCGCAACAAGATTAAGCTTAACAGGAATTTGATAAAAGCAGATTAAACCTGGCCGGCGAGGGAGCAGGTCATTAGTCATTGTAGCTCGACTGTGGCGGCCGCGGGCGTCTCATTATATGGAAGTCCGCGGTAAAAAATTGGACACATCAACAAATTAATGAGACATGGAGACACAGGTAATCTTGGTCGCGTTACAGGACTCTCCTAACACTCTCTCACTCCCCCCCTCCCCCCTCTCCCCCCACCTCTTTTTTTCTGGGGGGGGGAGGATACGAATGGACGATTTAGATAGGTGGTCGAGTTAAAAGAGGTGGTCGGTTTAAAGAGGTGGTCGATTTAAAGAAGGTGGTCGGTTTATAGAGGTGGTCTCTTTAAAGCGGTGGTCGATTTAAAGAGTTTGTCGCTCTTTTTGGGGAGGAGGTTTGGTCACTTTAAATAGGTGTGGTCGCTTTGTCAAGGTTGGTCGCTATAAGGAGGTGGTCGCTTTGGGGAGGACATGGAGAACATCGATTACCTGCTGTCCTTGCTAAAACGAACACGGGCATTTAGACGTAGAAGACGATAGAGGATTATTGAAAGGGCAAAGCCGAAAAAAAAATATCGAGAAAATTCGTTTAGAATGAGAGAAAGAGAGAGAGAGAGAGAGAGAGAGAGAGAGAGAGAGAGAGAGAGAGAGAGAGAGAGAGAGAGAGAGAGAGAGAGAGAGAGAGAGAGAGAGAGGGATAGAGATTAAGAGAGAAAAATAATGAAACCGAGAGATAGCGAAAAAGAGAGCGAAAAAAAGAGAAATAAAGAAAGAGAAAGTAAAAAAGAAAGTGGACAAAGAATAAAACAACAACGACAACAAAAAACGCCATAATTAAGCCCAGCGAATATGAGTCTTTATGAACCACGAGCGTAAAAGGATAGATAAAGAAAAAAAAAATTCTCGAGGTGAAATATTTAACATTATTGACTCTTCCATTAATTCCGGGCTCTTGGGCGGAGGGGAAAAACACGTTCGGCTAAATTGATGGCATTTAGGAACGAAATCGATTAATAAAAAGGAGAAAGAGAAAGAGAGAGGGAGAGGGAGAGGGATAGGGAGAAGAGAGAGAGAGAGAGAGAGAGAGAGAGAGAGAGAGAGAGAGAGAGAGAGAGAGAGAGAGAGAGAGAGAGAGAGAGAGAGAGAGAGAGAGAGAGAGAGAGGAGGGATGAAGAGAGAGAGAGGAAGTGAGAGAGAAAAAAAGGAAAAGGAAGGGACAGAGAAAAAGGGAGAGAGAAAAAAAGAGAGAGAAACGAGAGACAGGGAGAAAGAAAAAAGAGAAGCTGAGAGAGAGAGAAGGGAGACAAAGAAAGTAGACAGAGAATAAAAAAGAAATAGAAAACGAACGAAAGAATGAACAAAAAAGAAACTAAAAGAAAAAGAGAGAAAGAGAGAGAAAAAAAAAAACGAGGGTGAAGGCCTAAATCTCCAAACTGGAATCACGGTGAAGCTAAAGAACAGTCTCCACAAACACACGCCATTAATGTTGGTGTTCAGAGATGGCCCGGACTGGAGCGCAGCCTCCCTCTGATCACACCGTTCATAATCAAATATTCCGAATGTGTATTTGTATGTATGTATCTCTCCCTCTCCCTCCCTCCCTCTCTCTCTCTCTCTCTCTCTCTCTCTCTCTCTCTCTCTCTCTCTCTCTCTCTCTATATATATATATATATATATATATATATATATATATATATATATATATATATGCACACATACACAGGTATACACACTAATATTCAAATCTGTATAAAATCTGATTTGCTCAGAATCCATCTTTGGTAGTGAGCGGAGGGGAGGGAGGGGGAGGGGGTGGGGGAGGAGCGGCGGGGAAGGAGGACGTGAATAAATCTGCAGATTACATCTGGCGTTATTAAAACAGGTTTTCGGCGTCTTCGGACCCAGCCCCGTGGCCTGCGTCGGGCTAATTCGGTCTCTGTGGAAGAATTCTGACGGCTCGGGAGATAAATCTGTCATCCCTGGCAAGATGCTGGCCGCTGCCGATGAGAGAGGGAGGGAGAGAGAGGGAGAGGGAGAGAGATACAGGGGAGAATGAGAGAGAGAGAGAGAGAGAGAGAGAGAGAGAGAGAGAGAGAGAGAGAGAGAGAGAGAGAGAGAGAGAGAGAGAGAGAGAGAGAGAGAGAGAGAAGAATTAGAGAGAGAGAGAGACGATAAGAGAAACGCTAATCAGGGAGCCGAGAGAATTAAAAGAAGAATCTTAAAAAAAAAAGAAAAAAAGAAAAGAAAAGA